ACGTTCTGTGATTCTGTGTGTGATTCTGTGAGACTTGCTGCTCCAGCTGAATGCATGTAAATCTATGAGGCCCAAGGGGATTAATATCAGGGTACTGAAGGAGTCGGCCAATAGAATTGCAGGACCTCTCTCCACTATTTTCAATGGTCTTGGGAATCTGGAGAGGTCCCAGTCGACTGGAAACTGGCAAATGTTGTCCCAGTTTTCAAGAAGGGTAAGAAGGAGGACCCTGGTACTTACAGGTCTGTCAGTCTCACTTTAGTGCCTGGTAAAATTATGGAGAAGATTACTCTGGGAGTTAATGAAAACCACTTGAGACACAATGCAGTCATTGGTCATAGCCATCACAGGTTCATGAGTGGAAGTCCTACTTAACCAACTTCATTTCCCTTTATGACAAGGTCACCTATTTAACTGATCAAGGGAAGTCAGTAGATAGAGGGGGTTTCTTTATTTTAGCAAAGCTTTTGATACTGTCTCTAACAGTATCCTTCTGGACAAAGTATCCAGCACACAGCTAGACAAGATCATAATGCACTGGGTGAGCAGTTGTCTGACAGATAGGGTTCAAAGGGTTATAGAATATGGGGTTACATCAAGCTGGTGGCCAGCCACCAGTGGGCTTCCTCAGGGCTCAGCTTTAGAGCCAGTGTTCTTTAACGTTTTTATAAATGATCTGGACACTGGAATCAAATGTACATTACCTAAGTTTGTCAATGATACTAAACTAGGAGGAGCTGTGGACTCACTCAAGGGTAGAGAGGCCTTACAGAGAGAATTGGATAGACTTGAGAGCTGGGCAAACACCACCTGTATGAAATTTAACAAGAGCGACTGCTGGATTCTCCACTTGGGATGAGGTAATCCTGCTGCTGATCACCTCTCTCGGAGACCAGCAACAGGACATGAGGAAATGGAATGAAGCTGCATCAGGGCAAGTACAGATTGGACATTAGCAAAGCTTTTTCACTGAGACGGTGGTCCGTCACTGGAACAGGCTCCCCAGGGAAGTGGTCATGGTACCAAGCCTATCGGAGTTCAAGCAGCATCTGGACAATGCTTTTAGTCATGGTTTAGTTTTAGGTAGTCTTGTGAGGAGCAGGGAGTTGTACTCAATGATTGTTATGGATCCCTTCCAACTTGAGATATCAATTCTATTATTCAGTGAATGGAAGATCCTGAAATGAAAATAAAAATGTGACATTTATATTCTTTAACAATTGCACTTTAGACTTGCTGTGATATGAAATGGACATAGCAGAAAAGTCTATTACTTGTAGTAGCCCAGAATATTTCATTTCTACAGATGCCAAATAAAATGGATTTCCCAGATGTTCAATGACCTACTTAGTCATAGATTTCTTTCACTCTTTTTCACTAAAAATAGCATTTGGCATAAAACTCTAATACATTGAAATCAAAATGCTACAGAACTTATATTAGTTTTGCTAGGCTTTTTGGTACACAGTCCTTCCAAGCCAAGGACGTGGACCTATTCATTCAAGCAGGGTCTCTTGTCAACAGAGGCAAAAACTTTCAGCACCGTTGGTGAACACACTCTCTTCTTTCTCTCCTACCTTTCGGGAGGTCTGTCACAAAACAAAAACAAAGGTTGGATTTTCCCAGGGGACAGACATTCTCTTTGGAACAGTTTCTCTAATCTCACAGAAACTGTACCCTTTGGACCAGTCAGGGAAGTTGCTGAATCTAATCTGGAAGAGACTTTAATGAAGTATATAGGG